TTGTTTTTCTTTCATCGTACGCACCTGTTCATTGACTTTGTGAGTGCTCGGTGTACCGCCAGTACAAGAGACAAGTCCACACTATTGTATGCTGCTACCGGTAGGGCGATCCGTCGATCCGTCCCTGATACATTTAGTAACCCGTATTGAAATCAACGATGTGGCTATTTTAGAGTTCACTGGAACTACACTACCATAGCAGTATTGTTCAAATAACTGTTCCATAGAATTTAGAATTTTGAAATCAGCCAGACAGAGTGTCACCAACTTTATTTGGTTGGATGGTAAAAAGGGAGGATCGGATACTGTATTACCGATGATCATATCCATGGCACGGCTCGATTTGCCAATGGAGACACCTTTGTGACGTTTTACAAGGAAGACTTTATTTCTCCCAAGGAATATAAGTCAGTCGTGCACAAAGTCGGGGACTTTGTGCCTTAATTGTGCACAAAGTCCAGGACTTTGTGCCTTAATCGTGCACGAAGTAGAGGACTTTATGCCTCAGTTGTGCACAAAGTCTAGGACTTTATGCATCAGTCGTGCACAAAGTCGGGGACTTTGTGCCTTAATCGTTCACAAAGTCGGGGATTTTGTGCGTCAGTTGAAGCACAAAGTAGGGGGGTTGGAGGTTGGCTTCTCCCTTCTACTGGTACTACATGTAATACGGTACGCTAAAATCTTTACAAGGGTACGAACGGATTGCCGCGGTACTATTTTAAAATACAGTAGCACAACCATTGTCACTCGGTTCGTACTGTATTGTAAAACACACACAAGAACAGACTGTCGCGAGTGGTAGAGGTCGACACAGCGCGGTAAAAAGGTGTTAAAAATGCAGTAGAACAAGGGGTCGGTAGAGCGCGGTTGAAGGTGGTTGCAACGTTGCAACTGGTGAGCGGCGACGTTGCTCCTCCACCATGATTGCTGCTGACGCCGTCAATTTCGAGAAGCTCCGTCATCGTCCGGTTGTACTGAAAGAACAAGAACCAGCTGTCACAGAAAGTACAAGCAAGCCGACCTCTTAGTCAAAACCCCAACCCTAATGACCACGGGAAGCACCGGAGCAGGAAAGTGGCTGCAGCCGTAGCGTGCGTTGTTTTTGCTGCCATGGTGATGAACATAAACCTCGCGCTTTCCTTCAGGATAGAATAAACGGCAGGGTTACTCGGCATTTTGTCTATTTAAGCTATTGTGTCTGATTAAAGAGTTGCTTAAATGTTCTATGCTCCTTAGAAAAAGTGGCTTATGTCTCACAATGTCTCACTTTGTATACCAATGTCTCACAATGTCTCACTTTGTCTACCAATGTATCACTTTGTCTACTAATGTCTACCAATGTATCACTTTGTCTACTAATGTCTACAAGGTAGTGTAAAACAGTACAAAAATGTCTCACAATGTCTCACTTTGTCTACCAATGTCTCACAATGTCTCACTTTGTCTACCAATGTCTCACTTTGTATACTAATGTCTACCAATGTATCACTTTGTCTCCTAATGTCTCCTAATGTCTTAAATCTTTTCAACGGTCTGTAGACATTTCCATAAGTCAAAGGATCCCTTTATCGCCAAAACACAAACAGACAGAATGCCGCGTAACCCAGGCGAACATCTCGCTTCATGAGCGGCTCTCAACTGAGGAAGACTTCAATTTTGCCACTTGAAGAGTAACCGCAGCGTCCTCGGTCGACTGGATTATCCACTCGCCTCCAAAACCTGCCTTGGAGAATCGGTGGTATCCATCCCATGGACTCTCTGAAGAAGGAAATCTTGAGTTGAATCGAAGCGGTGGCGATCCGTTCAGATTGTATCGCTTGGTTTTTGGGACTTCACCAGCTCAATGGTAAGATAAAAGTCTCGAGTTGAGTGGAAAACGAGCAATTCCGGAGGTCGACCAGCCACGACGCCATCTTCTTCACACAATGGGATGGTCCATATGTTCCACTCAGTAAGAAGGCATTTCCTGGCGCTAAATGAGCGCTTTTGTCGTTAGATTTCCCATGGTCACTGCGGTGAAGGCATCAGCTCCAAACGAGAAAATAATGAAAAATGAATCTGAGTGCTTTACTTTTTTCAGACATGAGCGATCGTGGGAAGGCAAGCCTGGGCTTCAGGGAGTTCTAGCTGTCGCACATGTATGCCTGGATAATAAGATTTTCATGACTAAGATGTTAATAAGCTAGTCGTGCTTTGGGACTGAAGCTTCGCAAATAATGGCTCGAAGCTACGTCCGCAGTAACTCATGCACTGACGATTCAACCCAGTTTCACTCCCATGGATGCAGCAAAAGCCGGGTGCAGTCACCATGATCATGGGTTTCCCCAAATTGATACTTCTCGTTTGACGGGTCCACACTCACACCAGTTCCAAGCATAACAATAACCGCACCTCTGTACTTGCTCGTGTTGCACTTCATCTTCTTTGCTGCTGGCTTCTTTTCTTCTTCATCTTGCACACTAGCCTATCAAACTTGTCGCCCAAGTTTTCCCTGGCCCTGCGAAGCTTGAACTTCGTACCACTCTGCTTCTTGATCGTGGGTGGCTGCGTCTCCAATCCATCGTTGAGTTCAACAGAGGCAATGTAGGCTATGTCAGATTAGATGTTGGTGGCGTCATTGCCATTCGGCTCCACTACAACGGCGTCATTGGCATTTCCACGACCACCATTCGAGTTGCCACCATCATTGTCGGCGTTTTGGACAGCTTCCTCTGCATACGCCATGGCAATCTCGCCCTCGTCGATAGCCTGTACTGCATCCTGGGCGCCATCCTCTTCACCGGCCACGTACTCCGGTGTTCCTTCCAATTCATAAGGCGATGGAGGCGAATTGGCAATCTGTTCCGCGTAATGGGCCTTGTATTCCTTGAAAGTCAACCAGTCACCTTGGCCCAGAGGTTGAACACCGAAGCAACTCATGAACCGATGGACCAAGGGCCAGAACCTCCAACAACCGCCACAGGCATGGTTCGCAGCGCAGAAGTCCACCATCAGTGGCCGGTTGCTAATGATTTTGTTGAACATCACAAAAATGACGTCCTTGTTGGTAAATGCCACATTCTGGGGGCCAATGAACATGGGCTCATTTTCATCGGTGTACCTCCTCTTAACTGTTACAACAGGACACGACAAAGACACTTTCTGTGAGTTGCAACAACTTCACAGAATGCACACAAAGACAGTTCTCGATGACAAAATACGTACGTGTATCATTGCCCAGAAAGCCTCCAATACCTTCCGGGAAGGGGTATCCACCGTACCCAAACATATTTGGGCCTTGAGCCAAATGTTGAAGAAATGACGTGACGTGAGACCACCGAAACCATCCGCCAACCAGTCAAACACTTCCTGGGGTACACCACGTTCATTGCGAAGGAACGATTCCATGTTCCGATTCATCTGGATGCTTTTCCAGATGATGTTCGAGCCCATGGCAAAGTTTCGATTGTCCAAGGCCTTGGCCTCCTTCTCTTCTCTTTCCATATGTTCGGCATAGCGATCACACATCCAGTCATCGTAGGCTCCAGCGGCACGCATCATGGTTGCTCTTGTTGTTTCTAAGATGTGTTCTTTCCTTGCAGACCGGAAAATAATGAGACCTTTTGTCAACATTGCTTCATTAATCAGCGATAAAAGTTCGTGGAGTCAGAATACACTCCCAGAAATGCATGCTGTCATTGACAATATTTCATCGGCAGCAAAATTATTTGGTCCATTTGGAGTTGTTTTCGAGGGTGAGTATCGCAGCATTGGCATGAAACGAATGTGCTTTATTCATTTGATTTTTTTGTTTCGCAATTCTCTCACAACTATCACTTTCAATAATCGGACTATTCAACCAATACCAATAGTAACGTATCTGCTTTCAATCCTGCGGGCCTGTTGCAAAGAAGTTGTTAATAACACGTAATTTAGTTGAATTCGTCTAGATTGAACTTGTCCAAGAAAGCATCGTCATCGTTTCTCCAGCCATCGCCGTCGAATGCATCCATGACATTGAAAGAAGCATCGGACAAGTCGTCTAACAGATCAGCATCCAACACAGGTGGTCCCGCGACATTCTTTTTAACTCGGTAACCAACGGGATCTTCGAAGAAATCATGAATCACGACAGCTTCAATGCGAGACCTCTCCACCTTACCATCTACTTCGCAGTCACGCAGAAGCCCTAGATACCGAGCTGTTTCGCGTAATTGTGGATAATTCAAGGACAGAAGGAATTCCTTGTCAGATCCAACTAATTTCGGTGCTTGACGACGCTTTCCAGTCACTGTTGCCCGACCATCGATGTACATTGAATGTTGCGATCCTCGTGCCAATGACTTGGCAACCAAACCACGTGAATTGCTTTTCATCAACCTCTTTGTTTCGAGAGATGAATCCAATAGTCCATGTTGACTGCGAAGGAAACTGGCTCCCGGACAACCGTACCCACAATGCTTCCAACAATTCATGCGATCACCAACGATTGTATTGTCTTTTCGTATTAGCTGGCATAGGTTTCGCGTTGCCTTAACCATTAGCTTGGCGACACTCCAATGAGGCAATGGATTTTTACCATTCCGATTTGGACTTACAAAGTGTTCGATGTCACCACGTAGAGCTGCCTCTCTGTCTTTTCTACGAGGTTTTGTAATGGGAACACCGATCAGACATCCAGTGTTGGCTAGCCAGGTGGTGCTTCCATCTGTTTGCTTGCACTCAAAAAGATCGACAGCGCTGTCAAAGAAAGCTGTGACAGAAACCATAAATCGCGACACGTTTCTTGGATATTCCATGCTGCACGGGTCTCGTCCGCTTCCCTCGCAATTCATTAGGAGCTTCGGAATTGTCTCAATAATGTATCCTTCGGTAGAAATGTTTGGTCGAATCGATTGCCTTGCACCCGTCTTCACTCTATGATGCATAGCGCTCTCCATCGGACAATTGGAGGGATAAATCATTTGTTCCCTCGTGCAGGCGTAATTCCAGCAGTTGTAGGGTGCACTGCAATAGGAGCGAAAGAAAAGATCCGCTGCTGCTGTTCTCCTCTTGTTAACCAGTCTAACAGAACCAAATAAGACACAGAACCTTTCTGTTCCTCGGTTCGGCAGACATGAATCCATTGTACCATGTGATACGCTGTAGGGTAAACAGGAGTGACCTCAGTTTTGATTTTGGTTCTTGTTTTCTTCTTCTTCACATTGGGTTCCTGTTGTGTCGCAAAAGCCCTGTCAATGAAAAGGGCCACGAAGCTATTCCGTTGCTGAAAGTGTTGCACCACGTGAAAGTAGCAAAGCGTTATTCCTTGTGTAGGTTGGTGAATCAACGAAGGATCGCACAAAACATCCAAAAGCGAAATTGATTTTGGTTTCATTACATGATGGTTGTCAAAGGATGGATAGATCCCATCGCGGATGGATTCAACCAGGTTCTTCACCTTTGCTGTTGATTTACGAACAGGTTTCTTGGAATCGACTGGACCAAATGAATGAACTTGGTCTGGGATTGCGATGTCCGAATTTGACGTTTGTTTCATTGTTTTTCCAGGGATGCTAGGTTCAGCGAATCCTTGCATCATCGGATTCTTTTCCCAGTCATCGTCGCAAACGTTGGGCCACATTCGAAAGTGACGATGAGCTGTCACAAGGGCAGCTGAATGATCTGATGTGCCAACGTCAATGGCCAGTTTGGTACCGAAAATCTGATAGCAGACATGCCGCAAGGTGTACAACATGAGAAGGTACGGATGGATTGCCTCGGATCCTTTCATGAAAGCGAATGGCCTCAGTGATGAGGTTACCTCTGTCTGGTCGTCACGATATTTCTGTGAAAGGCCACCACATATAACTGTTGGGGCAGGGTCTTGACTTATTCCACCGGTACCATCTGCACATAACTGTCTTGTGCCCAGTCGCCTCTTCGAAAAGTGCATTAGCTGCCACAAGGTGGTCCCGGAGATGGCAAAGAAGCTTTGTTGTGCGATGAGATTATGCCATAGGAGCCATATGGGTGCGGCGCAGCTGTGCTGGCTCAGTCTGATGGAAAGATCGCTGTTGCATCTGTACAGTCTTTCAGTACAATGAGCTGTGTCACCATCAGACAAGATAGGAACAGCTGTAGAGGACATCGAGTTCCTCTGCAAGGAAGGATGATGCAGTTCCTCAGCCATGACCTATCTAGAAAGATAGCTTGGTCAATACCAGCCAAAAGAGATGCATGGATCTGTATCCTGCATGGCTGGATGGAGTTAAGTTGATCAGTAGGTTGGCTGACTGGAGGGATGGCTGAGTCTACTGGTGTCTATGGAAATGATGTGGGCCCAAAATAGGCATGGGCTGATAGGCTGCTGAAGACACAAGTTGAATTGGTGCTGAAGACGTGGGGTGTGTAGGGACTGAAGACACCGGTTGTGTAGCTGGGCATCTCACAGAATGGGGTGTTGGTGGGATGCCGCGATATGATGGTATTGGTGTTGGTTGGGGATATACCTCCCCATTGAGGGCCCACACTTGGTGATGGTATCCACCTCCAGCAAGGGGAGGGGCAACATCCATGACAACCTTGGGTTGGGATGGATGACCAAGAGGGTCCTCAACATCACCCAACAAACTCTGTTCCACACTGCTTGGTTCTGAATCGGTCCTCCTAGCCTTGATCTCAGGGCTAGGCTTGTGTGATAAACCAGGTGTGCATGGAGTGGAGTAAGGTGGCCCTGGATGGGAAGAACCAAGCAGATTGGTATTGTTGTGGTCCTGTGGTGAGGCCAAGGGAGCTTGGTTCATTTGGTTCATTTTCTTCAATGATATTGCCAGTTGGTGGCTGATCATTGAAAGGGTAACACCATGGTTGGCTGGTGGAGAAGGAGTCACAACTGGAGGCCTTGTATGGTTGGCTGCAGGGGGGTCCACAGGTGTCCTTTCATGGGATGGGACTAGTTGTGGAGGTCCTGCAGGGGTGGACCTGTTGGTGCTGCCAGTGCTATTGCAGGATGATATTGGTGTAGCACCACTGGCAGGCTGGGCCTGTTTGTTGTGTCTTTTTCTGCTTCTTGCGAGCCATGATGGTTGTTTGGTGCGCCGGCCTGTAATAGTGGGGAGTGTAGGGGTTGTTTGCTGTAGAAAATCCAAAAGTGGTCCTGAAGGCGTGCACTGTTGGTCAATGACTAAATAGAGGCTGCTTGACACACTGATACCCTTGGAATCCTTCGAAACCGACTGGAAGGTGTTCTCGTGGTGCGTCGAGTTTACACCTGAGTCGACTGGTAACAGTGGATCGATCCGTATCCTCTCACGGAGTTCGCAGAATCAGCGAAAATGTGAGGCGACTCGGATCTTCGCCTCGGCGCGCTTTCGGAACAGAGGTTCGGTACCGGTTCTGTGAGTCCCTTGTGAGTACCAGTTCCCTTGTGAGTACCGGTTCACTTGACCGGAGTACCTTGACCGGAGGCACGACTGAGAATTTCCATAAAGGAAAACCGACAATGATGTACCTGTTGCCTTCCACTATCGGCCGCCGTAACCAAGGGAGTTAACAAGCAACTGATGATGGTAGCTTGTAGAGGAGCCTCAGGTTAGTAGGTGACCGTCTTTGTTTGGTCGCTACCACTCGGTTACTCTTTGAGTTAGGTCGATCGGCAGATTTTGTTCGCGATTTTCTGGTTGGTGGATCAGTCCGATGCTTTTCAACCCTCGCCGATCTCGAAGGTAGACGATTGTGGGAAGATAGCGTCGGTATCATGTAGAGCGTCCTTCGGTTAGTCATGGTACCACTGGATACCTCTCAATGCCGTACGAATCAGTTTTCGGTTCCGTTGCTCTCGTCGGACAGGTCTTTGTCGTGGTTCCACTCTTCCCTCTTCCTCCAATTTCACGTACCAGTAGCCACTCTTGGACGTGTCTATGCGGCTCTGTTTTTATGATTCCAGTAGACCGGTTAGGTGCACAGAGGTGGGATGGAGGTCTGTTGGTGGAGTATCCTTCCATCGGGCGCTGGAAGGCCAGCCCAAGGCTGGGCCCAATGCTATTAATCAATGTGGAAGTGATTGACAGAGTCTTAATTGTCTCGAATACACTGGCATGGCCATACAGGATCCTGTCTACTGCATAGCTCTACTTGTGCTTTGGGTCTGTACTCTGTCTAACTACTTCTTCATTACTTTTTTCTTTAACTATAAATACACAAACTCTGATTTGCGTGA